GGAAATACATTTATAGTTTTCCTTTTACAGTCCTACAGTCCATTTTTTAAAGTTAAATTCATTCTGTTAATATATTTTTTCTATTTTAAATATACAGTATTTTGTAACACATTTTGATTCTTTGATGCTATTTAAACAAACAAAAAAAAATAAAAACAGTAAATTTTAAAAAATTAAGAAGCCTTATTTAATTAACATGAATATGCTTGAAAACGTTAGTGTCAAATAAATAACACTTCTTAATTTGTTAAAATTTTTGTTTGGTGTTTAAATGTATTATTTATTGTAATTATACGTAGATTTATAAATCATTATCATCAGTATAGAAATGTTGATGCCAAAGATCTTTTGCAATACTCTTAACAAAATACAGAATATTNTTATCTGTTAATATTTAAAACTCATTTCAGAATTATTCAAGACATTTTAATTATATCATCTCTTACCCTGTAATTTAAAATCATTAACTTCTTAAAAAATTTACATTTCCACCACCTACACAATTATTAACACTTCCTAATAACAGAATAATGCAAACCATCCTTGATGAAATCAATGTGATCTGTTTTAATAATTTCTACATTTATTTTCTTCAAAAAACAGAAGAAATATAAAATTTTCATAATGATCCGATTGGTTGTTGATAAGTTTTATCGATCAGAAATAAATAACACTTCTTAATTTGTTAAAATTTTTGTTTGGTGTTTAAATGTATTATTTATTGTAATTATACGTAGATTTATAAATCATTATCATCAGTATAGAAATGTTGATGCCAAAGATCTTTTGCAATACTCTTAACAAAATACAGAATATTGAGTGCAGTTACATACTTGTTTTCACTTTAAAAAAGTTAATAAATGCTAGGCAATTTAATAAATGTCGATATTGACTTTTTTGACTTTTCTATTTCTTTTGAAAAACTGGAGAGAGACTGCCAGACACCAAAAGTAAATTTTTAAATACAGATCAAAATATATGAAGTTTATTTCTCAAAAACCTCCAAAATATTATTCTTACATTAAAAATTCAATTGTAACTTTGCTTACAGCTTGTAACAATAACTTTAATTTAAAGAACAGATTAAACAAAATATAAAATGTTTATATGCAGAATTGTTCAATAGTGTATAATGCATATTTGATTCAAGGAAAGGTTTATATATATTAGTAAAAACAATTTATAGGTTGCCTATAAAACTGCTTATTTTACATAATCTTTTGATTAATATCATCATATGGAATTATGTTCTATTAGTCATAATTTATTAACTGATTCATTAATTATTGAAAGTACTTTTAGTCATATATTTTTGAATTTTCTTTAAATATACATAGATCTATTATTAATAAAACCATTATTACAATTTGAAACATCTAACGTAGCTAGTAAATATTTCTACAATTTCTTTTAAATGAACATGTTATCCAATATCATATCATCATCTACACAGGAAAAGCTTATCAAAATATCAAATTATTCCAAGGTATAGGAATAACAACAAGAGTAGAATTTAAAAAGATACAGAAATGTTTTATTACTTTGTATTACATATAAAACTTACAAAATTTCATCTTACAATGATATTTTCCTCATTATATATTTTTTTATTTATATTGCATTATTCTAAGATCTTTACAAGCAAGAAATTTTATATATACTGTATATTTTAANATATTTATATTTACATTAAGAGTCTATCAGCAAAAACACTGAACAGACTCTGGTTGAAAACCCACGACCAGGTCGTGGGTTCGTGTCTTTTCAAGTGAAGTTTCCGGGATTTGTTCACGTGTGTAGTACCTAAATAGGGGCAATTTCTTCTAAAAGTCCTCCAGAGAAGCCCTGGTATTGCTTTTATAGTTTATACAATAATACAATCCATTTACATTCAGAGAGAATCACTGGTTAAATATACAATTCGAACCTGACAGAAAGAGCCTAATGAGAAATTTCAACAGTATTTTGTTTTTATTAATTCGAAATATATTTGCATACGTCTTACAAATATATTTCTTGATTTTAAAACGATAAAGCAATTATAATCAAAATTACTCAATTATATAGAGCTTAATAGTAAATAGTCAGCAAGCGCTACGAACGAAGTTCCCTGGAAGTAAGCTCACGCTATTAATAACCTGCCAATTACTGCAATAAATGAAGCGACGAATAGAGGAAATGTCTGTTCATTTTTCACAGATAAAATACGAATAATTTAAAATATTACTAGTTTAGAGTCAGTGAAAAATTTCGGAAATAATGGAAAATGGAAGATTAAAACGATGCCAAATTAGCTTTCTCCATAATTGATGTTGTACTGAAATGCTTGTACTGTTTGTTATTAAATATATGTGTCAACTCACACTAATTTTTTACATTTTACTTTCCTTCTTATGTGTATGTGTGTATGTGTATAAATGTATTAAATTTGGATTGTTAAAGGTGGAGGGGAAGAAAGGGATCTGACTTATAAACATTTTACTTTTTATTAGCATTTAAACTTTTTTTTATTGTTATAAAACTCATCTGTACTTTGAAAATGATGCTTATATTTCCATTCTTTTCAATAAATTCATTCTAATTTAGACATATTTCATATTTTTTTTATTTGCTATCACTATCACTGTATTTATTTTTGTATAAAATTACATAAATCTATCATGATTTAATAGCACTGAGTTTTTAAAAGTGTTTAAGAGGTTGAAAATGTACTGCAGTTAATATATGTTAATTGAAGTTAAAGGTTAGTGTTTAATGATGATTTAATAATAAATCATTTCTCGTTGATATTTTGAATTATTTGGTCTACAGCATTAAAAAAAAATATTGTACCAGTACATCATATATCTTCAAATACAATAGCCGATTTAGAAAATGATATTTAATAATTGTCAGAGAAGATAAAAATCAACTGCCTGGAGACATTTTCAAACTGCCAACCAAAGAAATTGTCTTAAGCCTTCTGCCAGCTGATTCCAATTTATCATTAATTTAGAAAACTCAAAACATTTATCAATAATTATAAACGTGTACACATGCACAAACATTACTCAAATAAATCAATTAATTAAAAACAAAAACCATTAAAATGCTGAAATCTGGAATAAACTGTAGATGATTTTATTGGAGTCTGCCAAGTATTTTTGTAATACTATCTATTACAACATCTGTCTTGCTTCAATATAGCTTATAAACTATAAACAGTTTTCAGACAAAATGAAAATATCATCCAAGTGCATCTGTTTTTCTTCATCATCATAAAATAAATGATTCACATAATATGTCATTTATATATTTTAATTATGATATTATAATGAAAACACGATAAATTTATTTTTATTTGATTCAAAATTTATTTTTTTCTTCAACTGATTAAAGAATTTCTCAATATATAGAATATCAGTTTCCTATCTAGTGTTATTAAATATTTTGTAATTGATATATACAATATATACAATATAAGATTTATAAATATTTTACTTTATCTGTTAATATTTAAAACTCATTTCAGAATTATTCAAGACATTTTAATTATATCATCTCTTACCCTGTAATTTAAAATCATTAACTTCTTAAAAAATTTACATTTCCACCACCTACACAATTATTAACACTTCCTAATAACAGAATAATGCAAACCATCCTTGATGAAATCAATGTGATCTGTTTTAATAATTTCTACATTTATTTTCTTCAAAAAACAGAAGAAATATAAAATTTTCATAATGATCCGATTGGTTGTTGATAAGTTTTATCGATCAGCTCACCACTATTAATATTTCAAAACGTGAGATAAAATATTCATCAAACTTAATCAAAAAACCATCATCTATTTTAAAATTTATTAAATTTTCATATATTTTCCTCAAATTTATTTATTCCCCTAAAAAGTTTGATTCTAGAAACATACTAAAAAACAAAAATAAATAAACCATTACATATTTACAATTTAATAAATTTTAACTTAATTAAAACAATTAATCATTTACTCTATAAGCAATAAAACAATGAATCAATAACTCAATAATACAAGTTCTTACACTTAATTTAAAGAGAATAATTGGCAGAATTTTTCTACTTTAAAACTTCATTTTTAATTTAGTATTTTTAGAATTACAGAAAGATCAAAATCCTCCTCTAATTTTAACTTTGTATCTTAATCCCCTTAGTAACAGTTTATAAAACACAATCATCACAAGAGCATTCCCTTAGTAACACACTTTAAAAAGCTTCTCACAAAAAAAGAAAACAATATCCTTAATAGGAATAAGGTCAGTGTCACATCTGATCTTCGTAGGGCCCGGATGAATTCAAATTAGGGGCCTCCCGCATAGTGTTTCGACTTCGGACATTTTCCTTTGGCCAAAATATTTTCTCATAAAAGATCGGCAATTTGGGGCCTCAGCCAATGGGGCCCCAAATTGCCCATAGCCATCGAATAATGTGTTACTAAGGTTGGGAATACACCATATAAAAACACAAACCACAATAAACAAAATAAACCTTACTGTCAAAAATAGTCCTTGACCCCTTTTAGTAACAATATTTGGCAGGAACAAGAAATAACTGAAGAAAAGAAAAGAAAAAAAAATTAATCCTGCATCAACCTTTAACCTTACAAAAGCAAGTGATGTGATAGACAAACAATTATTGAGTAGGTGTCACTTATAGGTAATTTACACGTATATAAACACACGAGCAGATGACCTAAAAGTAACATCAACCAATTGTTATAGGAGGAAGTGACTTATAGTTTTTTCCCTTTCATTATTAAATACAATTTAAGTGAAACCGATTTTTTTATGCTTTCTCCTCCATGTAATTTCACACGACAATCGGTTGCCAAGGGTAGACATTATGTAGTTACTTGAAAACAACTGTGTATATAATATCTGTCATTATTATTGATCAAGTGAAATTTACATTGTCCCGTTAAGCCTAACAACAAATGATCAAAACATATAATTGTGTGTACAATACACACATAACACTAAACTTACCTTTCCTTTACGTGTTATAGATATTCTTTAATTCAAATATTACAGTTAAAAAAAAGGAGTAAACGTACAATCCCTGTTTATTTTCCATCGAAAGCTTCGATCATCAAAAAAGCAGCCGACCGTCCAGCGACTGAGTGACAAAAAAACTGGCCGGTTATTGGTAGGTTTGAAAGTAATTGGCCAATAGCATCTCTCGTTACATTACTGCCATAATTACGTCATCAATGGAAGGATGGGCGCTAGGTGACGCCCTGAGTTGTTTGTATTTGTTTTTTTTTATTTCGGTTTCTTTTTCTTTTCTTTTTTTTTTTAAATTTTTCCTTTAAAAATGGTTCGTATTTTTAAAACGAATTTTAATCGATTCGGATTAAATTATTTATTTACTTTTTTGCGCAATTTTATGTTATGTAATCCGCACTTATAAAAATAGAAAGTAATAAAATGGTTTATAAATTGCGTGTGATAATTTTTTTTTCTGTTTTTCATTCATGAATTGTCATTTAACAATTGATACGCAGTTAATGAGTGACTAAAAATTATTTAAATACCTTTTGTTAAAAAGTTAATGCATTGTTAAATTTAATATAAATATATAAACTTAGCCACATTTTATTTTTTTAAATTTAAAAACGAGAAATTCACATAAACGATCGCCGTAATAATTACTTTTAAGAATGAATGCGTGTGTGATTAACATCAAATTTACGCGATAGGATCGTTTGTATTTATAAAAAAAACACTTTTAAAGTCTAATATCCTACTGTATATATTCTAATTTTCCTTTTAAAAACAACGTAAACAGGATAATTTGCTTGAATATTGTGTTTTATGGTACGAAAGAATCCATTCTCAAAAGTTATATGCACCATTCGTATATGAAATTGAAAAATTTATCTTTATTGTCTGTGGCAATTCCGCCAAAAAGAAGAAAGAGGAAAGTATTTTATAGTAAAATGAAACCAGTAAAATATTTATTTCTTTAAATTTAATAAAACTAAACATTCATGAACCGGGTCAGACAATACAGGAAAGGTTCCAGTTTCATAGGCCAGTGCACCTCCGCTGAAAATACAATGGTAAACCTAGCAGATACGCATTTAAAATTAAAATAACGTAAATTCTGAAGACATAAGAATTTAATTAAGTAGAAAGTCTAAACTGTACATTCGCACTTTCAGTATATTAACAACAACAACTGAACTGTTCAAAAGGTTATTGAATGAGTCAGACTATTGGAGCGATTATCTTTCAAGAAAAATTCTTAAAAAGGAAATAATAATTTTAAAATATTTTTATATTGATTTGAAAGTTGCACCGGCGATATATACCAAAATAATTATAAGTCACGTATGAATGGAGATAAGCAAAAAGCTTAGCATTAAATTATTCTTCACGTATCTAATTTTTATTATTTCATCATTTTTTTTAATGGCCTAGAACTTATAACCGTGACCGGACTAACAAACCGAACTGACTTTTATCTATTATCAATGGAATGTGCGTGGAATAAATAAATAAATAAAAAAGCAAAATTGTGTCTAACCAGTTGACATTTACACTACAACAAATGCTACTACAGTAACCAAAAAAAAAAAAAACAAAAACAAAAAGAACAGATTGTTTCACTTTCTTATCTAATACTTATGTAAATTTTAGTACAATCTAACCCCAAAATAGCTAAATTACTTCAAAATATGTTGATTGATTATGTGTACATTTTTATATTGAATTTACAGTACACACCAAGTAACCTATGTGTGTGTATATATTTTTAAAACCTTAAAACCTAGTTAGAAAATAATTTTTTATGGAAGAACAAATTGTAAATAAATGACATAATGTATTGTCTGATAATAACAGGAATGCCATTCATCAATTGCAGTGAGGCACCGTACAGTAAGTCAAATAAACCAACCTCCGCACCAGGATAAGTATTAGTCACCACTAGAAACACATTACGTATATGCAAAACCATGCTACCTGTCTAGCCACACCTTTATTTCATAAATTAAAATTGTAAGCGAGTTCCTTCACAAAGAAAAGAAAGAAAATACTGTATATGTATATATATATATATATATACATAATCTTACTGCAAGATATTTACGTACCCGTTACACGTAATATGTCGTAATCATAATTTTATGAGTGTTTTTGAATGAGGAAATTACTTTTTTTTATTTTTTTTATAAGGTCAACGTTCAATAATTGTAAAATGGATTGAAATTTTAGGGAGGAAATAAAAATAAAATCCAACTTTATTCTAAAAATTCTAAATAGTTATCAGGGTGAATCGAATTTTTTAAATTTTTAGAGGAATTTTTGTACATAAAACATTTATAAATAAATATAAAAAGGTTATAAATTTAGTTCCTAATTTAATATTATACAGTTCATAAAGGGTTTTAATGGATAATTAATGTGGGTTACTAAGCATTAATAGAACAGTCCATTCAGTCTCGTAAACTATTAACTTGCAGTTCATGCAAACTATAAATTCACATATTAATAACTCTGGCTATTCACATAGAAAATTAATGATGCTATAGAGTAGTTTATAACTACATATATGTTACAACATTCAACGCATTTTAAGCTCTTATATAAGGGGTCAAGCATTAATTACAAGTATAACTTTGAGCCTATCCCTCTGCCTGATATGTATTGTACAGTGATGTACTTTTAGCAAACCCCTTTTCTTTAATTACGTGTACAATAGTTCATGTTCTCCCCACCATTGAAAAAATGACGTAAGTACTGCACTTACGTAAGTAATGATGATAGTAAGTACGCTTCCAAGAAAAAATTCGTGTAACATTAATACCAGTAAAAAAGTTTACGTTGACTTCTCGATCTCCTCCCTCCCTATCGTGCACAATAATGTATTTTCGTGACTCCCCTTAAACTGTACACGTAATTAATGCGTAGCTTAAATTTTTGGGTGATGCATGCATTAGTGGATAATTCACACATTATTTTACAAAATATTGTATAAGAAACGTAGACAAACCTTCTATCTTATGTTCTCTGCAAGTTTTTATATTTAAAAATACATTTTTAATAAAATTTAATTCGCAAAGATGATAATATAATCCGAATCAATCGAACATAGAAAGAATTATCCAGCATCATCATCAAATCATCATTAAAAACACCTTATCTAATAATCCGAAAGTAAATTTCAGTTAAAAATAACATTATTTTAACACATCATCATCATCATTAAATTAAAAGTTTATTAAAATTCTAAATTAAATAGCATATTAAAGATAAATAAGAACATAACATAGAACATATACCTTTATTAGCATCTTCTCCAACTTTCGCATCAGTATCTTCATCGCGTACAATTTTAAACCACCAAGACAGATTTATAAATGGAAAAGTTACTTTTACAACTTAAACTAATTTACAGTTTCCTCATCTAATAAATATTTATATCGTTTGGATGCCATTTATCGCATTAGACATATAAACACGTGTGGCAGATAGCAGGCAGATGTCTTAAGTTCTTAAATTTCTTCGATAATTTCCATTAATAACATTTAAACTTTCGACCAAATATTCGATTCATCACGTAAGAAGGACACGAATTTTCTCGTAAGTCTGCAACATCCTATAAAGGCCACACAAAATATTTATATAGATAAATAAATAATAGAAACTGCAAGCTGCAGTTGAGACTTCGTCTTTTATTTATTGTATAAAGTTGATTAAATTATCTAGCTGTGGCTTATATTATTTTTAGAAAGACCAGAAAACTTTAAACATGGTTTTTTTCACGTGGAAAAATTAAAAAGCAAAATAAAATAAACGGATATTTGATGATTAATATTGTGTGGATAGTTCCTCACATTCAGGATTTTTATGTTAAAAGTCTATTAAATTGAAGGAAATTAAACATCCTTTAGGATACTTTCACAATTACTTAATGTACATAATTTCCCGTTTTTCTATAAAAGGAAATAATAATTTTAAAATATTTTTATATTGATTTGAAAGTTGCACCGGCGATATATACCAAAATAATTATAAGTCACGTATGAATGGAGATAAGCAAAAAGCTTAGCATTAAATTATTCTTCACGTATCTAATTTTTATTATTTCATCATTTTTTTTAATGGCCTAGAACTTATAACCGTGACCGGACTAACAAACCGAACTGACTTTTATCTATTATCAATGGAATGTGCGTGGAATAAATAAATAAATAAAAAAGCAAAATTGTGTCTAACCAGTTGACATTTACACTACAACAAATGCTACTACANTTTCAAATTTTTGAATTTTTAAACTGAATAAATCACTTTTAAATTTTTGAATCAACCAATCTGATTTAAACGTTTAAATGTATATGAAAAATCTATTTTGTGTCACACTGGGAAGTAACATTTACAGGAAAATCTCTTTAATTAAACGATTTTCAGCAAATATTTGAACAGTTTAAAAGCTGTTCGTGCTTAAATCAATTAAATAAACAATTTTTTTTTGCAAAATATTGTGTATAAACAGCGATTCTGGGACCTTAACCTTTAAACGAAATGGATTTATACAGTTGATGATAAAGAAAAGAAACTTTGTTAAAACAATTTATTACACAATAATAAAAATCATATAAAGTAAACAAATATTTTATAAACAAAATGAACTTAATAATTACTGAAAATAAAAAGAGAAAGAAGAGAGGGAGAAAATTTAAAGTATCATATGACAAGAATCACCTAAGTCTATCATTCAAGCTTTGATTCTATTTATAAAAAGACTTATCAGCACCTCAGATGTTAGAATGACTCAATCATCCATCTGGCAAAATGACCTCTAAATGTCAACATAAATATCTAATAAATAAAATGTAAAAAAAGGAGTAGATACTACGATTAAATGTTGATACTAAGAAAATGCTGGTTGATATCAATGGGGAACATTTCTCTTATCAACCCTCTTAGTTTAAGAAGTGCTTTTAAACATTTTTTTTTTTATTTCCAAGATTGAAAATAAATGTTTAAATTTAATAAAATTACTTATAAAATTTTTAATTTAATTTAAAAATATACAGGCCTATAATATAATTTAATAAAAAAAAGAACTATATAACATTTTATATATTTATTATGATTTTTAAATAAGAAAAAGTTTTAGATGAAAGCTCTAATTATATATTTTTTTTAAAAATAAATTTACCACACGAATAAATTTATGCATGAAACTTTTTACATGCTCTTATTTAATTGTTGAAATTATTTATTTTTTCCGAGCCACTGCACTTTTTACGCTAAAACTTTCTGCCACTGCAAAAAACACACTTTACTTTTTTATTTTATAAAAATTGCACTTATAAATATATATTTGATATTAATTTTTAAGCAAATATATTCAATTCTAACTTAAAAAATCTTGTTTTCAATTTATTTTTAATCATTAAAAGTAACTTAATTATAATCTAAGACTTAAATTAGTTAACTTTTATACTTAATAATAATAATAAAAAAATACAAATTTTCTACTTCCAATTACAGAATTTTCAATATAAAATTTTTATATACATTAAACTTAATGAGTTTTAATTGAAATTCTTGTTCCACATCAATTATTAATATAACAATTATAGTTTATATTCATAACTTTAATAATTAATGCCTTAATTAGTAAAGAGTTCTTTATATTTAAATATTTACTTGAAGAAATGCATCATTAGTAACACAATTATCTTTTTTTTTTTGTAATTTTTATATAACATATTTAAGAGCTGCAATAACCAGTTATTATTTGGCAACTGTACTTGGACATTTTTAAAAAAAATTGTAACAAAATAATGAATAAAACAATCAATAATACTTATATTTAAAGGCACTAGACTAGTTTCTGGTTAGAGAGGAGAGGAAGAAAAAAACAGCAAAACAACTGCATGTGGTCGATGTACCGAGGTTAACAGCTGCTAAATGGTCCTTAGAATAAGTCTAACAACTGATATTATATTTAACATGGAGGGAACCAAGAATGAAAGATTAAGTCCCAGTTAACAGGAAGTTATTAATTTGTGGTTGATAAGTAAATTGTAACTTCTTTGATGATAATTGTTACTTTAAATTCCAGCATTATAAAAACAATCTTGCTTGATTTATATCATTTAAAATGTTCCTTCATTTATAAATTAAATATTAAAATTTTTTTAAATATTAAAGTTGTATTTTTTAATTAATTTAGCAAACACATTTTTTAATAATAAAAACTTTTTAAATATTTATTAAGAAAACATAATAATAAAATTAATATATAACATTTTATTAATTAANATTTTATAAACAAAATGAACTTAATAATTACTGAAAATAAAAAGAGAAAGAAGAGAGGGAGAAAATTTAAAGTATCATATGACAAGAATCACCTAAGTCTATCATTCAAGCTTTGATTCTATTTATAAAAAGACTTATCAGCACCTCAGATGTTAGAATGACTCAATCATCCATCTGGCAAAATGACCTCTAAATGTCAACATAAATATCTAATAAATAAAATGTAAAAAAAGGAGTAGATACTACGATTAAATGTTGATACTAAGAAAATGCTGGTTGATATCAATGGGGAACATTTCTCTTATCAACCCTCTTAGTTTAAGAAGTGCTTTTAAACATTTTTTTTTTTATTTCCAAGATTGAAAATAAATGTTTAAATTTAATAAAATTACTTATAAAATTTTTAATTTAATTTAAAAATATACAGGCCTATAATATAATTTAATAAAAAAAAGAACTATATAACATTTTATATATTTATTATGATTTTTAAATAAGAAAAAGTTTTAGATGAAAGCTCTAATTATATATTTTTTTTAAAAATAAATTTACCACACGAATAAATTTATGCATGAAACTTTTTACATGCTCTTATTTAATTGTTGAAATTATTTATTTTTTCCGAGCCACTGCACTTTTTACGCTAAAACTTTCTGCCACTGCAAAAAACACACTTTACTTTTTTATTTTATAAAAATTGCACTTATAAATATATATTTGATATTAATTTTTAAGCAAATATATTCAATTCTAACTTAAAAAATCTTGTTTTCAATTTATTTTTAATCATTAAAAGTAACTTAATTATAATCTAAGACTTAAATTAGTTAACTTTTATACTTAATAATAATAATAAAAAAATACAAATTTTCTACTTCCAATTACAGAATTTTCAATATAAAATTTTTATATACATTAAACTTAATGAGTTTTAATTGAAATTCTTGTTCCACATCAATTATTAATATAACAATTATAGTTTATATTCATAACTTTAATAATTAATGCCTTAATTAGTAAAGAGTTCTTTATATTTAAATATTTACTTGAAGAAATGCATCATTAGTAACACAATTATCTTTTTTTTTTTTGTAATTTTTATATAACATATTTAAGAGCTGCAATAACCAGTTATTATTTGGCAACTGTACTTGGACATTTTTAAAAAAAATTGTAACAAAATAATGAATAAAACAATCAATAATACTTATATTTAAAGGCACTAGACTAGTTTCTGGTTAGAGAGGAGAGGAAGAAAAAAACAGCAAAACAACTGCATGTGGTCGATGTACCGAGGTTAACAGCTGCTAAATGGTCCTTAGAATAAGTCTAACAACTGATATTATATTTAACATGGAGGGAACCAAGAATGAAAGATTAAGTCCCAGTTAACAGGAAGTTATTAATTTGTGGTTGATAAGTAAATTGTAACTTCTTTGATGATAATTGTTACTTTAAATTCCAGCATTATAAAAACAATCTTGCTTGATTTATATCATTTAAAATGTTCCTTCATTTATAAATTAAATATTAAAATTTTTTTAAATATTAAAGTTGTATTTTTTAATTAATTTAGCAAACACATTTTTTAATAATAAAAACTTTTTAAATATTTATTAAGAAAACATAATAATAAAATTAATATATAACATTTTATTAATTAA